TAAAATTTTAAAAATAACCCCTGGGGAGTTGCAACAAAGTAGGAGTGTAAGTAAATGTTGCTGCTATTGAATTCTGATTGAATAGGTGAGGTTCGTGTGGTAGATTCCTGAGAAAATGCTTTCCGAAGATGCTGCCACGCATGCTGACACATAAGCCAATGCGAATCCTTCTCTGCGCGTGCTAGAAGTCAACCGTTTTGGCGATTTGAGTTCAGACCCATTTCTACAGCTCGCGTCAGATTCAACCTCGCGTAAGATTTGTAACGAAATGAGCCACGACACATTGAATTACAAAATCGAATGTGAGGACTGTATCAGTCTGACGCGATGTTATATGTAGTGCGTGAAAATACGGTTGAAACACGCTCGGAGCTGTCTGAGAGCAGGATTTTGCGGAATGGGGTGAAAGGCACTCGACAAAAACTTTGTGATCTCTCGGTATAAAAAACATTCCTCTTGTACACTCTTAGGGGCTTAAATGACAAAGGGCACCAACCCATCCAGCCTATAACTACTGCATACTTTAAATATGTACAATTTGACACACCACATAGGCTAGACAAGGGGCATAGCCTGGCAGGAGACATGCAGCTCAGGGTGACACTACTAGTCCAACCTCTTAGGCACGCGTCCGCAGACCAGTCAGCAAGAGTACTAACTCAACAAGAGTAACTCAGGGCGGCACTACTAGTCCAGCCTCTGAGACAAGAGCCACAAGGCTAGTCAACAAGTATAGACATGCAAGATAGTCTAATAAAGAGTACACAAGTCAGGGTCCTCGCAAGTGAGAGGCTACTGAAACCTGACCAAGTTGTAAAGTGTCGCTAATGATCTCTAGGCCCAAGCGTCTTAGTAAAGATATTAGCTCAACGGAAACCAAGCATGCTACGCGTGCCTAGCCGCGCTACTGTAGCTCGCGCAGGAGGAAGTACCGCAGCTGGATATGCTTTGCCCTGCCCTCTAGTCGAGGCTCCTGACATACAGTGGCGGATTAAATTGCCCGGATGTTTAACACTTAGAAACGTATCGCTATGCCACACATGTTTCGAAAATAGTAACACCCGTTTTTTGCCATTCCGTTACAAGGTTTCCGAGTTCTGCTTCAACCGTTTCTTGCTTGGCGCGATTGTGACACAACCTGAAAGTGGGGTTGAAAATTACTCCTCGACTATCGATGCGGACATTTCCAACCGAGCGGAAGAGTAGATCTATTTTCCCCCGTCACTCAGAGTGTACATCGTCACGCGCAACAGTTGCTGGCTTAGGAGTTAGTTCGGAAGCGAGCCTACGACCGCATCGCCATGAAGCCGTTAACTGAGCGAAAGCGCGCGCGAATCATAAGCATGTTGCGTGCGGGGCATTCGACTAGGAAAATAGGCAAAGTTCTTGGCATAGGCAAGAGCACCGTGCACGATTACAGTTTGAAAGTGGCCGCCGAGACTAGTCTCGAGGAGGTGCGACCTACGATGCCTTCGGCCGGCCGCCCCCGCTTAATCACTACCCGTCTCCAGCGCGGAATAATACGCGCGATTACAAGCGGCGAGGCGAAAAGCTCTGTAGAAGCGGCAAATATGTTGTTGGAGAAGCACGGTCTCGCCGTAGACTCGAAGACGGTCCGAAACTCATTACGATCCGCGGGGCCGATCGCCGTGCATCAGCCCAAGAAACCCAGGCTCTCACCGAAAAACATCCGAGATCGTCTCGACTTCGCTCGGTCGCATGCCAACTGGACGCTGGAGGACTGGAAGCGGGTGATTTGGTCTGACGAGACAAAGATAAACCGCTACTGCTCCGAAGGACGTGCGTACGCCTGGATTCGCGAGGGCACCAGCCTTCGGAGCCATCAAGTCCAACAGACAGTTAAGCATGGGGGCGGTTCTGTGATGGTGTGGGGTTGCATGACGTATGAGGGGGCGGGGTTCATGTGCAAGATAGATGGCAGGATGGATGGGCCGCTGTATCGCAGCATCTTGCAAGATGAGCTCAAACAGACCATCGATTTATTTAAGCTTTCCCCCTCAGAGGTCATTTTCCAGCACGACAATGATCCCAAGCACAGGTCTCGTCTGGTCCAAGACTGGCTTGGGGAGCAGGAGTACGCGGTGCTGGAATGGCTGTCATGCTCCCCGGACCTTAACCCGATTGAGCACCTGTGGGCACACGTGAAAAGGCAGCTGGGGAAGTACGAAAAGCCGCCAAGGGGAATGCTGGAGTTGTGGGAGAGGGTGCAGGAGGAATGGGACAAGATACCGGCGGAGGTGTGTGCAAACCTGATCGACAACCTGCCGAGGAGGATCAAGGCAGTGATTCGGGCAAAGGGACGCTGGACTAGGTACTAGTTTCCGTAGAATCTAGTATGCTACCAGAATTCGGTACAAATTGTCCGGATGTTATCCTATGCTATGCTTAGGTGTTTAAGGACCATGTGTGGTACTACTTTGGTGTTTGGCAACTCGAGTGAGTGCTCTAACTGATCTTCTCAGCGTGTATGCACACCATACATTAAGGCTTAATGTTTACGCCGCTGCACTCATCAAAATGCCAAAAAAGGCTGAACATGTGGACAATTTTATCCGCCACTGTAGGTGGATCATGGCCTTGTTATCAGCATACAGGACCGGGCAAGAGCTAGGCTGCTCACCTAAGTCAGTGAGCAAGAACGTCAGCCAGCGGAGCTCCTGTGTCGCCATGGCACCAGCGTAGATCTCAGCCTCACAACTGGACTGGGCAACAGACGAGAAGATGGCACCTACACCAAGGCTAAAACAGTAGCCCTTTGAGGACCTGAGAGTTTCAGCGTCGTTCGCCCAGTAAGCGTCAGTGTGTCATGTGAGTTCCACTGGCCTGCGTCCTTTTGGCACTAGCCCCATACCTAATGTAGTCGCCCACATATTGCAGCACCCTCTTGGCAGCCGACTAGTACTGGGGTCGGTTTCTGCATGTCGAAACAAAGCGTCCGAGGACACCAAGAGGGTACGCGAGATTTGGGCGGGTGCAATTCATCAGGTACATGCGGCAACCAACGAGCTCTGCGTACGGACCACTAGGCTTGACTTGCTCAACAGGGACTGGAGACGAGAGCCCGTGGTCAACAGGCAGAGGGGTGGGTTGTACAGAGGAGAACTGAAGGCCGAACCTCTGAAGGACTTGGGGCACCAAGTGTGAATATGAGGGAGTAATAGTGCGCGCTGCTCTGTCCCTGTAGATCCGCAGCCCAAGGTAGCAGCGCAGTTCTCCTAGGTCAGTGCAGGTGTCTCTCCTCAGTAGCTCTGCCTTCACCAAGGGCAGTGCGTCTCTATCTGCAGTAGCAAAGATCAGGTCGCCTACATGGACTAGGGCATAGAACGGAGTCTGGTCAGAGCAAACATAGAGAGACGTGTCAGTGAAGGACGGGAAGAACAGGAGGTTGGCTAGTGCAGCACGCAACGTGTCGTGCCACTTACAGGGCGCCTGCCGCATACCATAGACTGTGCGCTTGAGGAACCACTCGGTCCCAGGAGGGAAAGAGCTAGTGAAGCCTTGCAGACGGTACATGTAGATCTGCTTGTGCACATTGCCCTGGAGGAATGCTGTAGAGAAGTCAAGTGAGTGGAGCTCGTAGTTGCGCTGTGCTGTTACGTAAGGCAGCGCCCGAGGAGTGGTCGTCTTCGGGGTCGGGGCGAAGGTCTGTGTCACAGGATCGAATGAGGTTTGCTCAATGTTGCACTATCAATCAGTACAATGTGCTTTTATACTTCCAGAGTACATCAGGTAACCAAGTTTATCCAAACCAAAGGGAATAGACCCTTCTAGAAATAGAATCACCTTGCGTATAGCCACGCGAGGCTATTGGCTACAAGGGATTATGACAAGATTACGCTAGATGTAGCGCGCCAGTACATCCAGAGCCTAGTCGGTGATATAATTATAAAAAGAGGATAAACCAAGATCTCACTGTGTTGATGTTGATCCATTTTTTACGAAGATGACTTTGTCAAAATAAATCGATCGTTGTCGACACCAGTTGTGACAAGATCGAATGACTCGAGGAAAGATTGCACTATCGATGAATACAAGGCGCTTTTATACTTCTAGAGTACATCAGGTAACCAGGTTTATCTTATCTCGAGGGAATAGACCCTTCTAGAAGATAGAATCATCCTGCGTATAGCCACGCGAGGCAATTGGCTTTAAGGGATTACGGCAGGATTACGCTAGATAGCGCACCAGTACATCCCAAGCCTGGTCGGTGATATAATTATAATAGCAGGATAATCCAAAGGTTAATGGAAAATGGAGAATAGGAAACCAAATGAGGAGAGATAAAAAGAGGAATGAAAATAGGAAGGAAAGAGAAGAAGGAACAAGTGGTGTAATGGGGTCGTACTCTCACACTTCCCCCCCTCAAAGCTGGGTGGTAGAAGTAACACCTTGCTTGACAAGGTAGTCATGCAGAGGACAACGGGCGTTACCCATGTCGGTCTCAGATACCCAGCTGTCCTCAGAAGGATCATAACCCTTCCAACAAATAAGGAGCTCCACGGTACCATTCCGACGATGGCGGTGTGCAAGCACGGATTCGACCTCGTACTCGGGTTCATTCAGGACGAGGACGGGCGGCGGCGGCGGCGGTTGGCATCCGACGAAGATCGTGTTTGGATCCCGATAGGGCTTCAGAAGTTGGACATGGAAGGCGTTGTGAATCTTCAAGATAGCTGGCAGACGTAAGCGGAAGGTAATAGGAGTGACCTGTGCTTCAACGAGAAAAGGCCCACAGAAGTGAGGTCGCAGTTTAGATGGGAGATGGCTGATGTCAAGATTGCGGGTGTCAAGGAGCACCAGGTCTCCTACGGTAATGGTGTGGTCGTGGCGATGGCGATCGGCCTGGCGCTTCTGTTGCTGCTGAATGTCGAGGAGGCGCTTGTGGGTCCGCTCCCAAAGCTGGTGCATAGTTGTGATGAAGTCGTGTGCTGGTTGGACTGTTGCTGAAATTGTCGGTTTTTGTGGTGTGAGTGGGTGGCGTCTGTAGCAGAGGAAGAACGGTGTCAGTCCAGTAGCGGCGTGAGTGGCATTGTTGTAGGCAAACTCCAGAACGGGCAGGTGCAAGTCCCATTTGGAGATCTCGTCCTTGCAGGCTGCTCAGAGGAGTTGCTCAACAATCTGGTTGAGGCGCTCGATCTGTCCGTCTGTCTGCGGATGGTATGCGGATGACATGGCGAGTTTGGTCCGGAGCACAGACATGAGTTCCTTCCATGCTGTGAGATGATGTATCGAACGAATAGTTGTGCTGTCTCCTCGGTGCGTGCTGTCGTGTGTGTCGGGATGAAGTGTCCCATTTTGGAGAACTTGTCGATGACGACAAGGATTGCGTCATAACCGCTGGTGGTAGGTGGTAACCCGGTGATGAAGTCCAGGCTAACCACTTGCCATGGCTGTTCTGGGACAGGAAGAGGCTGCAATAGTCCCGCCTTTTTTTGCTTGCTGCTCTTCATCCGCTGACATGTATCACACGAGGTGACAAACTTCTGAACATCCTCTGCCAAGTGGGGCCAGTAGTAGTGTTTTGCGATACCGATCAGCGTCTTGTTGCTACCGAAGTGTCTGGCATATAGGACGTCGTGGTATTCTTCGAGTAGTAACTGGCGCAAAGGAGGGAAATTGGGTACCCAGATTTTCGTTGATCCTTTCTGCTACGCGATGTCACTGTCCCATTGTAGCAGATGTCGTTTCTCTGCCAAGGGAATTTCGGGGTCGATGGCGTACCCGTGTGTGAAGAGTCCCTTGAGTAGTGGATTCATCCCTTCGATCTGAATAGCGGCAACGTATGCAGGCCGGCTGAGAGCGTCTGCTTTGTTTTTGTGGCCGGGCTTGTACACGATGTCGTAGTGGAAGTGTGTCTCGAGGAAGTCGATCCACCGGACCTGCCGCCTGGAAAGGTTGGGTTGTGTCTTCAAGTATTTCAGACTGCAGTGGTTGGTGTAGACGGTTGTTCTTCGTCCTTCAAGATAACATCTCCACGCTTTGAAGGCGATAACGATGGTAAGGGCCTCTTTGTCGTGTATCGGGTAGTTGAGTTCTGCCCCGTGCAGTTTCTTACTCAGGTAGGCGATTGGTTGCAGTCCATTCCCATAATCTTGCATTAAGACTGCTCCTACTGCCTGGTCGCTGGCGTCAGCTTTGATTACGTAGTCGCGTTCGGGATCTGGCAAGATGAGTACTGGTGCAGACGTGAGTGCTTTTTTCAGCTGCTCCACGGCTTCCTGGTGCTTCGGCTCCCGTTTGTAGGGCGTGTTCTTCTTCAGCAGATTCGTGAGTGGTGCTGCGAGTTTCGCATACTGTGGCACGAACCTGTTGTAATAATTAGCGAAGCCTAGGATTTGCTGTAACTCCTTCACGTTCTCGGGTGTCTTCCACGTACGTACGGCTTCGATTTTCTTGGGGTCGACGTGAACTCCTTGAGCGCTCACCATGTGTCCTAGGAACTGGACCTTCTCAAGGGCGAATTTGCTCTTGGACAGTTTGACGTAGAATCGTTCTCGTCGAAGAATTTCGAAGACACGTCGTAGGTGTTCGACGTGCTGCTTCATGTCGCGCGAGTAGATGAGGATGTCGTCCAGGTACACCACCACGCACTCGTCCAAAAGTGGTCATAGAATGTGGTTCATTTCGGCTTGGAACGTTGTCGGTGCGTTGGTGAGTCCGAACGGCATTACCAAATACTCGTACGATCCATACCGAGTTCGGAAAGCAGTTTTGTGGATAGAGTTGTCCGCCATTTGTATCTGCCAGTATCCGGACCGCAGATCCAGTTTGGAAAATACCGTAGCTCCCCGAAGCTAGTTAAGCAGGTCATCGATTCGCGGTATCGGATATTCATTCTTGACGGTCTGCTTGTTAAGTGCCCGGTAATCGATGCACATGCGTAGGCTTCCGTCCAGTTTCGGTGTCAAGAGTACTGGGGCACCGTATGGTGAACTGGATGGTCGGATGAGTCCTTTGGCTAGGAGATACTCGATCGGTCAGCTCTGTAGGGCTGAGCCGATATGGTGCTCGGAAGGTCGGCTTCGAACCCGGTTCCTCCACGATCTTGTGCTGATGCGTTCGATATGGTGGTAGCTCGTTCGGAAGATCGTCAGGAAGAATGTCTTGGAACTCCTTCAATAATTCCTTATTCTTTTTCGGAGGTTCCGAGGTCTTCTCTCCGTCATTCTCCACCTCTGTTGCTATTGCCAGGAACCCGGTATCCGTTCGCTTCACGTCCTTCTCGAATCGTGCGAGTTTCTCCACTGGGATATCTTCTGTATCGTCCCTATTGGGTAGTTGGACTCTCCGTCCATTGTTGTAGATGCTTGCGGTGCGGCTCACCCAGTTGATCTTGGGGTTGAATCTTTTTAGGAAGTCTCGCCCGAAGATCAAGTCAAGCCCTTTGATGTTGGTGATGGGGAGTGCAGGTCTCCAGCGCAGTGGTCCGATTTGTAGGTGTAGCACTGCTTCACCGCGTACTGGTAACTTGCTTCCGTCCACCATCATTGCAGAGAATCCTGAAGGCTTGTACTCTTCCCGAAGTCGGCAGATGACCTCGAGCACGAGGGGCAGGCGTTGCTCGGAGTACCCAAAGGTAGTCTCATTGATTGGGTCATAGGGTACATCTCAATATTCCGTACACACCTTTGTGTTGGTATCTACTCCTGAGCTGGCAGCTGGCCGAGGCTGCTTGGAGAACAGCTCTTCTCCAAGGCCTGGAGTTTCCTTGACGACTGTGCGCGTCATTGATGCCGAAGAACTGGATGCATCCGGAGGAGGAGTTCGGGGTTGGTGCAGCTTTTTGTAGACCCCCAGCTTCCTCTTGAGCTGCTTCAGCTCCACCGACGTCTTCCCTGGGGAACGGGTAGTCGTTGTGGGCTGGTGTCGGGAGAGGACGTTGACGCCGTGGAAAGGTCGGCTTCTTTCCACACTCCTTATTTTTTCCCCAAGTTGTCCGGTACCGGTATAATCTCCACAAATGTCTGCTTCTTTTGGAGTCCCTCCCGAAATTTCTCCAAGGCTCTAGCCCCTCGAAAATCATAAGTTTTCATTAAAGCATCTTTAAAAGATAAGTTTAACAAATCCTCATAATTTCTTGGGTCTTCAAGGAGTTTCCCCGTCTTGGCAGAGTCTTTTTTCGCGGAGTCGTATTTTTCCTCGGCGATTTTCTCTCGCGAAGACTGGTCGTGGGGTGGAGATTTTCCCCCATCATTTCCTCCTTCTCGCGTTGAATCAGCTTCGTCGAAGTTGATTTTCCCGGAATCCCGCGGCCGCTTCCGGATCTTTTTATTTTCGCCAGCTAGATCCGCAATCACTGGCGACTCCCGTTTTTTGTCTTCTGATTGGCCGAAGGAATTCCGCCACTGTTGCGTGCCCGATATTCTTTTTCGTGCGGCTTTCATTTTGTTGCAGTCAAAGATTCGATGACCCGGCACCCCGCAAAAATCACACGTGCAGTTGGTGTTTTTCGGACGTGGCCGCCCCTCGAACTTGTCGACTTCCATCGGGTCGGCGAACGTGGGGTGAGCCGAGCGGTCGCCCTGTCGCGTACTGTCGATGTGCGTCCGTTGTGTCCCGGCGTTGACCATGTCGAAACGCTTTGCTGCCGAAACGACGTCACTGTAGCTCGCGTAGTTTGACGCTGCCACTTGTCGTTTAACTTCGGTCTTCAGCCCGGCGAGGTACGACTGTACTTTTTCCCCTTCGGTCAGGTCGGGAATGCGGTTATAAAATTCCTCCATCTGCTGCGTGTACTGTGCTACACTCCCGAACTGTCGATGTCGATGAATTTTTTCCCGGGCAAGGAAACTGGAATTTATTGGCTCGAAGCATTTCAGCAGGTCGGCGCGGAACTGCTGCCACGTGGCTTCACCGTGGATAAAAGTGGTGTTGCCGCCAATCCACTCGAGTGCCGGCCCTCGCATCAGCGTCGCCGCGAGTCGTACGCGTTGTCCGTCCCAGACTGGCGAACTCCATCCGATGGGTGCGAAGTAGATCTCCATCCCGGCGATCCATCTGCGGGCGTCGGAGTTTCGATCGCTCGGATCGAACGGCTCAGGTGGGCGAGGTTTCGGAGCCTCGAGAAACTGCTGCGACTGCTGCATCGTTGCCGTTGTCGAGTCGTGCTGCGCTCCGGCGAGTCGAGTTACTCGCTCGAACTCGTTTCGCCACGCTTCGCGATCCGCTCGCATCTCCTCCTGAAGGGCTGCGATGCGCGCAAAGAGCTGCTGGGTAACCTCGGCGTTGTCGAAGGTTGCCATCCTATTCAAAACACGCGCGGGGGGGGGGGGGGGGGGTGATTCGAAAAAATGCGGAGCTGGTGCTTACCAGAATCGGCGTCGAATTGGTCGCCCCCGGCGGTTTTTCGAGGCAGGTTTTCCCGCTGCTGCTGCTTTGTTGAGCGCGGTCGAGTGAGAAAAGCTCTGATTACCAAGTGTCACAGGATCGAATGACTCGAGGAAAGATTGCACTATCGATCAGTACAAGGCACTTTTATACTTCCAGTTTACATCAGGTAACCAGGTTTATCTTATCTCAAAGGAATAGACCCTTCTAGAAGATAGAATCACCCTGCGTATAGCCACGCGAGGCTATTGGCTTTAAGGGATTACAGCAGGATTACGCTAGATAGCGCACCATTACATCCCAAGCCTGGTTGGTGATATAATTATAATAGCAGGATAATCCAAAGGTTAATGGAAAATGGAGAATAGGAAACCAAATGAGGAGAGATAAAAAGAGGAATGAAAATAGGAAGGAAAGAGAAGAAGGAACAAGTGGTGTAACAGGGTCGTACTCTCACACCAGTCAGAAGATGCGTCGATTGTGCAGTCGATGGTCACGAATGTTCCCATAGTGTTGTTTCCGCTGCATTCGTGCCGTTGATTCCGCACCGATCGGACGATCCACGTTCTCCTGTCAGTTTTTTGCTTGCAGCTATTACCAAGTAGGTAATTCTTCGCAGATTTCCGACTCTGCAGATAATTTCTGTGCCATATTTGTTACCAAATGGAGGAATCGGAAATTGGTTGTCAAGATGATGTAAACGGTGTCGAAGGCGGCTGATTCTTGGTTCTGTGCGTCATTCTCCTTTTGTGCAACAATCGCACTCCATCGCGTTCGTTGAAGCAGAAGTCGATGCGATGGTCCAAACTCCAAGCGATCTGAAGACATTCTTTAGTCGCGTTCAGCAGCTTTCGGTGCCTGAGTGAGCTTGTGTCCTGCAGCAATTCTCGGTCGTCGAAATCGGCAGTCGAACGATCGGACGCTCTGAAGAATTTCGCGGCTTGCGAGGTCCCGTTCCCATTCGCGCTGTAACTCGAACTCGCACGTTATGATTTTGTTCCGCGTCGGTCGATCTGAAGCGTCGGACCTCCATCGGACGGATGTCCTCGGTCGCAGCTCCGCACATTTTGGCGCAACTCCAAGAGTCGTGACAAACTGCGAACTTCTCGGAATGTCGTAGGGAGTGTTCCACCAGAAGTAACGCATTCGCAAGGTAGAGGCCGTTTGCCCCCGCGAAAAGATCAGCTCCGTCGATGCTGTCCATCGAACGGTCGACGAGGCATCTCGCCTTCGAAGGGGACCCCAGGTGTTACTGCGCGAGGTTAGTCGAAACTTAATATAAAAGAGCATTGTACTTACAGGAATTGAAGTTTCGACTCCATCCTCGGCGTGCTCGTGGGGGCCTAGCGGTTCAGCGTTAAGCTGAAAACTTGGCTCTGATTACCAAGTGTCACAGGATCGAATGAGGTTTGCTCAATGTTGCACTATCAATCAGTACAAGGTGCTTTTATACTTCCAGAGTACATCGGGTAACTAGGTTTATCTTATCCAAAGGGAATAGACCCTCCTAGAAATAGAATCACCCTGTGTATAGCCACACGAGGCTATTGGCTATAAGAGATTACAATAGGATTACGCTAGATATAGCGCGCCAGTACATCCCAAGCCTAGTCGATGATATAATTATAAGAAGAGGATAAACCAAAGGATAATGGCAAAGGAGGAATAGAAAACCAAATGAGATGAGATAAAGACCAAATGAATCAGGATAAAAAGAGGAATGAAATAGAATAGAAATATGGAAAGGGGAAAATGGTGTAACAGGGTCGTACTCTCACGGTCTGGAAGAAGTCAACCCCCTCGCGGTGACTGAAGCTTCTAGCAACGTAGCGCGCCTTGAACATCGGCGGCTCTCCAGGCGGGCGCTTCACCTTGAAGAGCCACAGGCTATCGACTATGTTTGGCTCAGGTGGGGGAACTGCGTCAACATACGTGCCGGTGGATCTCCAAGATGCCATCACTGCGGAGAGGCCCAAGATCCCGTAGTCGCCTCAACATAAGTGCAAGCAGTTGGGATGACAAGAGCGTCTGTATCACCCTCAGGGGCTAGCTAAGATGAGGAGTGGCCTCCGTAAGGAGAGTTAGCTCGTATTGTCAGTCCTCTAGGACGTCACTGCTAAGGGCAGGTGCGCCCTCGGCGGACGGAGGACGGGCAGGGTCGGAGACCAGAGCAGTGGCGTAGTCAAGGCGGCGGGTAGGGGCAAAGTCAACAACAGCAACATCAAGAGCCGAGAGATAGGAAACAGGAATCGAAGGGTCGGTAATGAGAGAGGCTAGGACA